ATACGTATGCATCAATATAAAATCAGTGTAGTAGTGTTTGAGTTATATACTTATATTCTTTCATCCATAGACTATATACTATATGTTCATTATATATATACGATAAAATATATAATTAATTCTATCAAATCCATTCGTAGCACAGCCGCGAAGGTCTGAACATCACCACACACTTCTTCTAAAGAAATAGAGATACAATATAGGACGGAGTGAAATTTTCAACATAGCCTAAGGTGATCAAGGATATATATTTACAATTGCATCTGGTAAATGAAAAATCCATGTGCTTACAATCGTATCTGGTAAATGAACCATTTATAAAACTTGATGTTGATTAAATTGTAGTAAAAGAACTTAGATTGAACTTCATCAAGTTGGACATGGTATCCTATTCACCAAATTTATGTTCACATATTAAATATCAGTTTATAATATATATATATATATATTAAACTTACGTTTTCTAACCATTTCGAAATCAAACAAAAATTGACGGGCGTTTAAAAAATAAAAACCATGGGTTTAATCGGTTTGGACAAGTTAGTCGATTTAGAAGATTTTGCTTATCGGCACCGGTTTCAGAGAATGTCAATTTTGTAACTTTAAAAATAATTTGATTAAATAAAATTTCAAGGAAATGGAGCAAACTTTAGAAAAAGTTAACTCATTGAAAAAGAGGTATATATCATTTGAAATAGAAATAAAATAGTACAATTTTGATGGAAATTTTTTGAAAATATTAAAAGAAAAATTATTTTTTTTATTAGAAATTCATTAAAAATTTACAATTGTAACCGAAGTTAAAGAGCACCAAAAAAGCAAAATTTGAAAATTGGTAGAAGAAAAATAAATGTTAGATGATAATGGCTGAAAATATTAAAAGATAAGAAAAATGAATAGCTAAGTATGACAATTGATATATTATCATTTTTGAAAGTAAGAGAGATATGATTTTGTCTAAAAAAGAGAGTGACATGATTATTTATAAGAATAAAAATAATAGAAACATAAGTATTATAAGAAGGGTTTAGTAGAATAGATTAATGAAAATTGAGACAAGAAAGATAAGTCAAAGTTAACCAAACTCATTTTGCACTCAATATAATACTAAGATAGACAAATTACATGGCTATTTAGTTGAGAATGATATCATAGATGATTAAAAGATAGTGAGTTATATCAATGATCAATACGGAGACTGAGAAAGAAATGTGATATTCATAGAAGAATTAGTAAGGAGAGCAGCTAAATTATATTCATTAAAAATAATATAATTTTGAAGAATATACTGTGAGTAAAAATAAATAAATGTAAACAAATTCAAATACAAATAGATAACATGTTAGCTTTGAGTGAGGTTTTATGAATAAATGATGTATTCAAATTAAAAAAACTAGAAAAATAAATAAATACATTTTTTTAATAATGTATATAAAAATTAGACGATGTTAAAGAGTTGGAAAGAAATGTAAATGTAACAAAAAATATAATTACATTCTTATTTGATTTTGTTTAAAATAATAATTGTTTTCAAAATTTTATGTCATTGTACAAAAATAATAATAATAATAATATTAAAAAAATAAAAATTTATTAATTACATATAATTAAATTTTAGTTAAACTATTTATTTCTGTATCTATTTTTTATTTATTAGAATATGATATAAATTAATAAATAAACTATAAAAAATCCCACAGCATCGCTCGACGATCTTAGTCAGAACAAGCTAAAGGTACAAAAGGCCATCCGCAAAGCAGTTTTAGCGCGAATCGGATTTTTAAGAGACCCTTTCTTTTCAAACCAATACAATCATGATAAAAATAACTTAAAAAAGTAAAAATTTTAAAATAATAAAAAATAATTAACTTTTATTGAATTTTTTTTAAAAAAACGTAATTTAAAATAGTTTTTCTTTTCAAACCAATAGTTACTAAACAAATAAAGTATATACTGATTATTATTTTATAATATTAATAGGATCATATATTTTTTTATATCTTTTATAATCTTTTTATTGTTGTTTTCTAAAATGTACATAACTTATGTTACCATCTCATCTTATCTCTTATCATATTTTAAATAAAAATAAAATTTTATATCATATTTATATATATATATATAAATTTATTTTCATGGTATATCAAAAATTTGAGATCATAAATGAAATGAAAGATAGCCGAACAAAAGAATAAATTAAAATAAGATGAAACAAATATGAATAAGAAATAAAAATAAATCTCTCGTACTTTGTTTTACAAAGTCACTTAAAAATGTTTTAACACGTAAGAGTCATATTTCGATCTTTTTACAAATACGCGTACACACATAAATATTTATTGTGCATTAGTTGAAGTCACATGCGAACTTTTTCGTATATATATTTTGTTAAGCTTGATAATAGTCTAATTTTTATTTAAATTATTATATTATTTATATATTTTTTTAAATATTTATCTATTCTAAGTGTAGTGAAGTGGTTGGTATTCCCGCACATGCGTGCTAACCATCTATCTACTCTTAGGAATAAGTAAAAATCGTAAAAACTATTTCAATTTAATTTGCAATAAATCAAGAAAAATATATACTTAAAATATATTATATGTGTATTTGCAAATTCATATTATGTAAGATGCAAAAAGCATATTGTATATTGTGTAAGGAAAAATAAAGTATATTATAGAAATATTCAAAAAATATTATAAGAATTTAATTATTATTTAATATACTTTTTATATTTGTGATTATATATTATTACAAGCATTATAAAAATAAAAAGTTTTAAAATGCATTAGTTTTAGAAAGAATTTTGTGAAATATTAAAATAATATATATATACAAATATACTAATGTTTGAGAAAACTAATCAACTTTTAAATATTATAATTACCTATGTATATTAAAAATTTTATATCCGTACATATGTACGGATCAACCACCTAGTTATTTAAATAAATCATATTTCAGTATTTAAATTGGCTAAAATTTAGAAGTTGACATTTAAATGTCAATTTTCCCAATTGTATTTTAGTTTGGTTTGGTTCTATTTTAAATGATTTGATTTAGATTCGGGTTCAGTTTCGATTCAAATTTGGTTTGGTTTTGAACAAAAAAATTCATAACAAAAAAAAAAGTTAATTACATTTATTAGCATTGAGCTCAAGAATTTCGGTTTGGATTTGGAAATTTTGGTTGGGTTCAAGAATATTTCTCCAGCTAACTTAAAACAGTTAACCTTGTTGATTTTGGGCTATGCGGTCTGTTCGACTCGGTTGAAAAAGTTTTGGTTTTGATTACAGGTTCGATTCGGTTTATTTGATATAAAAAGTTATACTACTGGTTTACTATAAAATTCGGTTCGGTTTAAGGTTGATAAATTTCAGTTTGATTCGGGTTTTTTCCCCGCCCACAAACGAAACCAAGTTACGATTGGCATAGTTATGTTTAGGGGTGGGCACAAAAACCATAACCGAAAAAACTAAACCATACCGAACCGAAAAAAGTGATATGGTTTGGTTATGGTTAAACCTAAAAATTCATTTGGTCATCATTTTTTTATAGTTTTGGTTTATGTTTGGTTTGGTTAAAAACCGTCAAACCAAAAGGTTTTTTCGGTTTTTAAAATATAATATTTATAAAAGAACTCTACATAAAAATAATAAAGTAAACCTTAATTTTTCAATAAAAAATAACGTGATTAACTATTTTTTCTTCACATTCAAGTTTTCTAGTTCTAGTTTCAAGGTTATAGTCTTATAGGTATTAAATTTTAATATAAATTTGTTTATTATTTTATAATTATTGATTATGAAAAATTTAATAATTTATTTGTTTTTCTGTTTTGAAATATGTCGTTATTGATGATTTTTTATGATTTAGATTCTTTTTTTTGAATTTATTATTTTATTTCACTCATATCTATTATTATTATTTCTATTAGTTTGAATCAAAAAATTTCGTAAAAATTTAATTATAAAAAAACCGAAACCAAACTATAATAAACCGAACCGTAAAAAACCAAACCATACCGAACCGAAATATATATGGCTTTTATATGGTTTGAATTTTCGTAAAACCGATAAATCGTAAAACCGAAGAAACCGAACCAAAACCAAACCAAAAACCGAAATGTCCACCCCTAGTTATGTTGAGAAGAGACGAAAGTCTGATTCGCTTGAACCTTGTCTTACACGGAATAACATAGGGTTCCGAAAAAGTTAGGGGCTTTTGGAAATTTCGAGAGGGTTTAAAAGCTTTAGAAGTCGATAAGATGGATTAAGGTTTGGTGTAACCATGAAATTTTGAGAGATTAAGGGTCATGTGTTTTATATGGATATGGATACTTTGCTTCTTCTTTTTTTCCACAAAGAGTTTCCTTCTCTTCCATTTCTTTGCCTCATGAATAAACAAAGAACAATTGTATTGGATGCTTTCTTTATGTTTGTTTCAGCCTGAAAGCCAGAATCGATGCCACGAAGGAAGTTATATAAAGGAAGATTTGTTGTTGTTTTTTTATTCAGAAACAGAGGATTGCTCATAAGGTGTTCGATACAATACCTGAATGACACCTTTTACACAAAAGACTTTGTAAGGTACAATTTTATTTTTACTTTTACCTTTTCTTCTTCTTCTTAAAAAAAAAAGCTTTTCTTCATTTGGATTAGTTTAAGATTTTACATTCTTTCACCTAGCAACTATGGAGTAACAATGTATAAGAACATAACTTAGGATCATATTGTTTGTTTTATATATTTTTTACTTGGATAAAAAAAGGTTAAGTACATAGAAAGTCTTGGTTTTGGCTTCTATGGGTTAGTTTTTTTACCATCTTTGTGCATATGCTTCATGACTAGCTAATTAGGTCTGCAAATTCCGAGATAGACTAAGTACATTGTCTCTATGGTGTTTTTCCTTAGAAGAACAGGTACTAACACATATCTACATTCTTTGTAGTTGAATTTCATGCGTTTGCTTCCCACCTGCCATTGCCGTTTTTGATCATGACGCAAGAATGCACTATCAAGAAGATTATCGACGACCTAACTGCGTTACAGCATCAGTTAGAAGATGGCATTTCTAAATCCGAGAAAGCTACTGTTAACAACTATGGACAACCAAACGAAGGATCAATCAGGGAGAACAGACCATCTTGGTGTGACCGGGTCAGAGAAAGAGTTAGAAGAATCGGTAGAGTCAAGAGCCATGCAAGCGACAGTGGAGGCAGTCTAGGAGGAAGCAGAAGAGGCAGGCAAAGGAAGGGCCAAAATGAAGTGGACGCAGACCTCGAGGTCATGAAATTGCAGAGTGACATCCGTCAGATGAAGGCTGCGTTTGAGAACCTGACTGAGTTTCAAACCAATATAAACACGTCCTTGGCCCGTGATCTTCCTTCAAACAAACTAGAAGCAATACTGAAGAAGACGCATTCAATCAAGTCCCGTGCTCTCGATCTCAAGGAAATCAGAAGAAAGATCTTCAACCTGAAGTGCCAGATCCCATCGTTGCTCTACAAACAATCATCCAGAGGGTTAAGCATCACGGATTCTCTAACTGCCGAGGAAAATGCTCAGATCGACGAGACCGGGAGCAACATTTACTTGCCACGCCTCCACGTTTCTGAAAAGTTCATATGTTCGCCAGCTTTTGAAGAAGTTGTGGAGAAGTTTGAAGGCCTTCATGAGTTCACACATAAGCTATGTTTGCTGTCCTTCGCCGTGTTCCCGGAGAACAAAGAGATTAAAAGGACAATGCTGATGTATTGGTGGATCGGAGAAGGTTTCATCTCTAGTGATGATTCTGAAAACTCAGTAACGACAATTCTTGATGAATTCTCAGCAAAAAAGTTAATTGAGCCGGTCGAAGATGAGAGGAAACTGGAACCAAGTGGTTATAAGATGGAGCCTCATGTGCACTCTGCAATTATTTACTTAGCCACCAAGCTCATGTGCCTATTTGATCTCTACGACTCGAATGGGAAGCTTATCATGAAAAGATCAGTGAAGGAAATGGTCTGCCTAGTAAGAGAATCGTCGTTGCTACGAGAGGCGAAAACCTCTGCAATGAAACCGAGAACCTTGAAATCGGTTTTCAATTCCTCTGAACGGTACCCTGATTTCACATTCAAGTGGTTTCCAGAGATGGAATCACTCAAGGTGCTATATTTAGGAAGATGGGAACGGACTGCGAAGCGCCACATTGAAGTCGAGAGCACAGAGTTTCTTAAGAACATGAAGGCTCTTAAGAATCTGAGGCTCGCAAGTTTCCAAGGCATCTCGAGGATCGAAAAGCTTGAGAATTCCATTTGCGACCTCCCTCAATTAGTGATCTTGGATCTTAGAGCATGCTACAATCTAGAGAAGCTTCCTGATGATATAGGCTCACTTAGGAGTCTGATTTACTTGGATGTGTCACAGTGCTACATGCTAGATGGCATGCCTAAGGGGATTGAAGATCTTTTGAAACTAGAAGTTCTTAAAGGCTTTGTGATTAGTCAGAGCGATGAGGAACAGAAGTGTGCGGTTAAACGCTTGGTTAAGCTACGGAAGCTAAGCATTACTGTAAATAAAAACAATTTCACGGTGGAAAAATTTATGGAGTCATTGAAAACCCTCAAGCAACTTGAGAGTCTGAAAATAGCATGGGGAGCTACGAACGAGGAGAAGCAACAAGGTCCTGCAGCAGAGGAGAAACAAGACGATCAAGTTCATAAGAAAGAAAAGATAAGTGAGGAGAAGAAAGGGGATGTAGAAGAAAAGGGTAATCGAGAAGTGGGACCAGAAAGCGGCGTCAGTAGTAAGAAAGAAGATGGAAATGGAGATGGAATTAATGAGAAATCTAATCTAGAAGAAGGAAAGAAGCACGGTGAGGTAAAAGCAGAGAGCTTGAAGTCTGATAAGGCCGTCGAGGGAGAGACGAAGGCAAGTCCTTCCCGAGAGTCAGCAGAGACGATCCAGAAAAAGCTTGACGATCAGAAAGGGAAAAGCAAAGTGGAAGATGAAAAAGAAAACGATGGAGACAAGGGGAAGGCTGATCAAGAGGAAGGAAAGAAGCGTGATGAGGTGAAAGCAGAGAGCTTGAAATCCCAAGAGGAAACAGGGACGATCCAGAATAAGCCAGAGGATCAGGAAGGAAAAAGCAAAGCGGAAGGAGATGGAGATAAGGAAACGAAGCAAAATGAGGTAGAAGCAGAGACTTCTGATGCTGAAACTTCTGAATCAGATAAAGGTGTTGAAGGAGTTAAGAAGGCGAGTCCTTCCCGAGAGTTAACAGAGATGATTCAGAAGAAGCCAGATGATAAGAGCAAAGTGGGAAAGGAAGCAAATGGAGATAAAGGGAAGGCTGATCTAGAGGAAGGAAAGAAGCAAGATGAGGCAGAGGCAGAGAAATTGAAATCAGACAATGGTATTGAAGGAGTTAAAAAGGAGAGTCCGTCTGGGGAAGCAACAAACACAATCCAAAACAAGCCAGATGATCACCAAAAGGATGACAAACAAGAAGAGCAGAAAGGTAGGGAAAATGAGAGAGTTAATCTAGAAAAAGGAACGAAGAAAAATGAGGTAAAAGAAGAGAGCTCAAAACCAGACAAGATTATTGAGGGAGATGAGAAAACAAGTCCACAGCAAGAATCTAAAGACACTGTGAAGAGCAAGCCAAATGGTTACCAAAGCGGTGACAAACAAGAAGAGAAAGGAGATGGTAAAAAAGAAAAAGTTAATCTAGAAGAAGAAAAGAAGAAAGATGAGGTGAAAGCAGAGAGCTCAAAGCCAGACAAGATCACCGAGAAAGATGAGAAGACAAGTCCACAACAAGAATCCAAAGACACGATCCAGAGCAAGCCAGATGATCACCGAAGTGGTGACAAACAAGTAGAGAAAGGAGATGGTGAAAAGGAAAAAGTTAATCTAGAAGAAGGAAAGAAGAAGGATGAGGTGAAAGCAGAGAGCTCAAAACCAGACGAGGTCATCGAAGGAGATGAGAAGACAAGTTCACCACAAGAATCTAATACGATCCAAAGCAAGCCAGATGATCACGAAGTAAATAGCAAAGTGCATGAAAAAGGAGATGGAGAAAAGATCAAGGGTGCTTTAAAGAAGTTTGTTGGAGGAGAAGGAAATACTCAGAAGTCAGACAAGAACAAGCTTGGTAAGAAAGTGAGTTTTTCAGAAGAACCGAGAGCTCCTATCCAGAAGAAGCCGGATGATTTGAAAAAAGAGAACGATGAAACGGCATCACCATCAAAACCTAAAATGACAGCTCCCAAGAGAAGCGAGACCAAGAAACATGGGAAAAGAGAGCAAGAATCGGAAATAGATACCTCTAAGCTTCCTTCTAGCTTGAAAAAGTTGGAGCTGGAATGTTTTCCTGAAGAAGAACCTCCAATTTGGCTAAATCCCAAAAATCTTGACAAACTTGAAAAACTCTCAATCAAAGGAGGAAAGCTTAGCAGAATCAGCGACGAACATCCAACTGCAGGAAGCAACTGCAGCATTCACATCTTACGTTTGAAATATTTGCATGAATTCAAAGCTGAGTGGAAAGATTTGCGGGCACAGTTTCCAAAACTGAAATTGCTGGAGAAATATAAATGCCCGAAAGTCGCATTCTGTCCCACAGATGGTAATGGAGTCTGGAGGAGGTCACAGCCATAGACATCGCCAGATATTTTGCCAAGTGCATTATGTTTCGCATCATTTCAATATTTGCTACTGTTTCTTCTGTCATATTAACGGCAAGAGCCTTTGTAACTTCTGTAAAGATTATGTATCCGTCTCTGACACTCTGAATAAATATGTACATTCTAATCAAATGTTTGGCGTAAACTGTCTTCTTACCATAGTTATTACACAAGATATTTCAAATATAACTGTTACATAATGTTTGAGAAATAAAAACAATCAAAGCAAAGGTCTCGTTCACCCAGGCAAGAACAGAACACCATGGCTGGGATTTTACTGCAGAAAATATCTTAAAACCGAAACAGGAAACAGTAAAATGAAAACCGGTAAAGATGATGTTCAAATGCCGGTCATTAATCAACACGCAACGGTTTCTCATACACATGCAGAAAAAAAAGACGTAAATCATTAGAGGCAGCGATCCAGATGCATAGAGGAGAGAGTAAGTAGATCTTGTTGCTCCATCTACTTCTGTGATCTTCAATCTTGTGGTGATAATCACTTCACGGTGCTACACCAAAACCCAGTCCTGCAAATACACGCAGCGTAAAATGCTAAGATGAACCTGAAAAGAGAATATTTTGTGCAAGACGAACTCAAACACCTCCGACCTGCAAAACAGAGAAAATTATGATGCAGCTGATTTTTGACAATTTGGATTCGGAAGAGTTTCTCTCCTGATGAGTTTTTGAAATGTGCTAGAACGTTAGACATGCAAAAGGTTGCTACGAAAGTTCATTTCTCAGGCAAAAAGAAAAGAAAAATAGCAAGAGAGGTAAGAGAAGAGCTGATAAGAGTCGAAAGTTGCAACTGACCGAGTCTTCTGAAGTTTCCTCCAACATTGGGCAATTCTTCAATTTCAATTTCAAATTCGCTTTCAGCGTTGACAGTTCGACTCCTTCAACAACTGTATCCAGCTTCTCACAATACTTTATATGAAGCTCTTCTAGGCTGCTAGGGAGCTGTGACGCCTCCGGGAAAAGCGTTTTGATTTTCGGGCAACAATCTATGCTTAGCTTCTTCAGGTTTTTGAAGCTGCTACCCCAACAAATGGTCTCCAACAGTGGAAAGTTTGAAATTGACAAAGTCTCCATTAATCCCAAACTTTCCTCATCCACTTCAAAGAAAAGGTCTTTTATATCTCTGCACATCCTCAGCGAGCAATCCTTCACCGATTTGGTCTCGCTAAAGAAAGATTTGAGTCTTATGGAGTTAATGTCCACAAAAGACACAAACTCAGCATTAGCTGGGGCTTCCCCATGTAGGTCTTTAGGTTCATGGATCTTCATCACTTCCTGCTGACTTGCGGAATCAAAATGTGACAGTATTTTCTTATAAATATCCTTCTTAATGGGGACATGGAGAAGACGTTCCTTGCTGACATCTCCCTTCTCAGTACAATCACTGGGTTGGGATTTAACAACTGTCCCAGAGGAGCTGGCCTTGTCAGATCTCTTACTTTCAATGTCATCCTTTATTTTGCTCCATTCCTCACCTTCAAAACGACTTCCATCTGCCAGAATAATATGCTTTAGACAGCGGATCTCGGTCTTCTTTGGCAACACTGGTGTCTTCACTTTGGTTCTGAAGAGATTCACTTCACGTAGGTAAGACATGTCCTCAAATGATCCCTCAATCGTATGCAATTTAGTACACCCGGAAACATCAATGACCTCGAGATTTGTGAGTTTCTGGATGTTTGGGAGAATTTCTAGGTTACTGCAATCCTTTAGGAGGAGTTTGTTAAGATTGCACAGCTCCTCGATGGTTGTAGCCAACTCGCTAAGATTAGTGCCCGTGAGATCAAGCGTTTTGAGTTCCTTCTTATCTTCAAAGCACACTTCAAGCATTTCCACTAAGCTCGTAGTGCCAGAAAGATCAAGAATTTGCAGACCTGACAAGGGCTTCAGACTTGGCAACCTTCTCAATTTGCTGCAGTTTCGCAACAAGAGCCGAGTCACGGAGTGAAGCTTGTCGCCTACAGCGGAGTCCTGGAATATTGGTAGTCGCTCTATTTGGCTCTCTGAGAAGTCAAGGAGTTGAAGTTTTGTAAGATGATAGAAGTTCTTGTTTTTGCTTTTGTTTTTCTTGTCGCCTTTTGTGTTGTCGAAACAAGTTTGAAGTCCACGAGCACCAGAAATATCAACAACCTCAAGATTCACTAGCTCCTGTATGTCTGGCAAATCTTCCAGTAAAGGGCAGTCCTTGATGATGAGACAATGAAGTTCCATCAGCTCAGAAATGCTGGAAGGGGAGGATGTGATCTGAAGCCCAGAGAGGTGAAGACTTTGAAGTTTAGACAACGCCTTGAAGAATTCATCAGAGATTTTCTCTAGGGAGCTAGCGCCGGAAACCTCAAGAGCATGTAGTCCTCGAAGAGCCTTAAGCTCCTCAATATCTGTCAGTAGATCACAGTCCCTGATCACAAGAACCCGGAGTTTGAGAAGATTCGAGAAAGACGTGATAAAAGGTTCCAGTGTGGGTTCAAAAAGACCAAGTACTTCGAGATCACCCAGCTTCTTGAAATACTTTTCAGGAGTTACACGGCGAAGACGGTCTCCACTAACCAGGATCGTGGAAACTTTGTCTCCTTTCTTTGCTTGCACTGTTTTAATCATATCATCTATCACTGTGATTTTCCCAATACCTTTGGCCTTGTCACCAGCATACACTCTAGAATACCCAAGTCGAGATCTCCCTAAATGCCCACGACGTCGAGGATCGATTAAACTGCTCATCGTCATCTCTGGTACCACCACATTGTTTTCCTGTATCTTTAGCATTCCACGGTTTATAAGCTCCATCAAGATCAAATGGCCGTCCTCGTAAGCCTTTTCTACAGTCCTAACAGGATCAAAGTAGCCTTCAAGTATCCACTGTGTGATCAGGTCACGGTAGTAAACGCAGCCACAGTGCTCAAAGAAGTCTATGCTATGCCAAAAACAATCCAAGATTGCATCCTTCAAAGGAAAACCGATTTCCAGAAGCTCATATGCAAGACGCAGTACTGGATTGATAGCACTCTCAGGAGAACCTGGATCAGACTGATCAGACCTATCAGCTGAAAGAATCTCTTCTATCTTTTTCTCTATCCTTTTCTTTAATTCATCTTCTGGATCGGGAGTGCTCGGAGTAATCCGCTTTAGGGACTTGGCTAGCACGACGATTGCAGCTGGTGAGTTCTTAATCTTTCCCACTATTTCAGGTAAGAATTTCTCATAACTCTTCCAATCTTCCTTCATAAGAGACACAAACAAATCCTTGAGATTAAGCTTATCGATTGAGTTAAGCAAATCCTTAGACTTATCAGTGGTCTCAAACTTGATTCCATCATACAACTCCGTAACAGGCTTCGGCTCATTTTCCTTAGGGGCAACTTGGGGCTTAGGCTCAGGCGCTTGGGGCTCAGGTTCACCATCGCTATCGCTGTCTAGTGGCTTGATATCCCCATCTGACTCACTTCCGCTGCGGCCATTATCATCCTGTTTGCTCTCTGTGTCCTGTGTCACATTTTCTCCAGCAGGATTTGAAGGCTTCTCGTCTCCTTTTCTTCTTGTAACAAGCATTTTCAGACGACTGTCCTGGTCTTTGAGAAAACTCTGTCCTCTAAGAAACTTCTCAAGCTTCAATTCCTTCATCACCTTGTCTTCACTAGTCTTGTAGTTATTGTCTCCTTCATCATCAAGAATCAACAGAAGATACGGGTCTTCTGCAAATGAGATATCTTTCTTCTCTCCCTCAGCCGGCGTCTTCTCTGCTCCGATCAATTTCTCCTTTCCGTCCGCCGGCTGCTTCTTCGCATTTTTCCCAGCCTTATCCTTCGCTTTCTGAGCCAACTCATCTACTTTTTTCTTGGCCGCCTCCTTTGCTTCTTTATACTGATTCTCTATTTCGTCAGATATGTTCTTCTTCAAATCAACCAACAAGGCTTTCACGTCCTTCTTGTCTTCCTCCTCGTCCTCATCTCTATCGTCCACTTCAGTCTCTTCGAAATCAGAGTATACAGATAACTGCGAAGCTATGTTCTCGTAAAGCGACCACTCGTCGTCGAACTTCTTGTTGAGATGCAAGCAGATGCTCAGAAAACAACGGCGAGTATCAGTGGCGTATTTGGTTACCATCTTCGCCAGCCTCGTCTTCCCGATTCCACCTTCACCAGTCAGCAAAACTCTCTGAGGCCCATCCTTTCCCAGAACATCCACTATCTCTTTATACAGTTTCTCATCCTTCTGATCTTGACGCAGTTTTGCATCTTCCATACCTGGGAATCAAAACTGCTTTAGAGATTCTTGCTTTAAAAGTACCCAAAAAAAAACCCCTTTTCCTCTATCTCTTCACTCAGAATTTCAAACTCTTTTCTAAACTCAATATCAAACACTAATCATTGCTCTTTTTTGCAGAAATCAGCAAAAAAAAGAAGAAGATACAAATCAGAAAGTTCTGAGCTAAATCATCGTACAGGTAAAGATCCAGTTCTATGGGATCATGATTTAATTAGAAATTTGCAGAATAAAGGCATACATTTCGACATCTTGTAGGCTAAAATGATTACTAAAATCAAGGTAAGAACAAAAAAAAGGAAATCGGAAAACGAAGACGGTGGAGGAAGAGAATAGTAACCTCGAGGAGCCTCATCCATGTTTGCTGGCGATCGCTTTGCCTTCCCTACGAAGCCGAAGTCAACCTCTGATCATCTCTCACTCTCTCTCCCTTTTCTTTCGCTCCTCTTCATCTCTCTATTACATCAAGTTTCCGATATTTTCTCTCACATATGTATTTACTTTTTTAGTAATACTGTATTTCTCTTCTTTTGATAATTGATAGCTTTGTGAAATTTATTTATTTTTGTAAACTAACTAAACTACTTAGAATAACAATATACAACCTGACTTGTTACCCTGATTGAAAATCAAACAATTACACTTTAATAATCAAGTCCCAAAATTCTGAAGTAAATTTACATATTGGTGTAGGGCATCATTTTTTAATAGTTTTAGGGCATCATTTTTTTTTTGAAAAAATTAACAGTCTATTATTATTATTAAATTATACTAATCTCAAATATAGTATGAATTTACTTTACTTAAAGTCTTAAACACATATATAAATTTACAAAAAATAAATTAACAATAATAAATCAAAAGCATTTAACTTACTAAATAAAAAATAGAAATAATTATATTTATTAAAAAATTAGACTAAAAACAAAATTATACCATATATATTTTTTTTACTTCTATATTGCTGCAGCGGCTAAAACGTATTAGTATAATTATACAAAGCTTTTTCAAGATTTTGGTAATAATTAGTTACAATTATGATAAAATTATAATATTTTTTTTTTCGTTTGACTATGTCACAACAAATATTGAGTGATAATTGTATTATTTATTACAATAAAACTGTTAAAAAGTTTGAATTTGAAAATTTGGTAACGATTTTATAAAAAAAGATTGTTAAAATTATAGCTTACATTAATGATTTTATTATATTATTTTATTATGTGATAATTATATTTATTATTACAAACAAAATTATAAATGAGGATATTTTTTTATTTGTTTTTGTAAGTTATTATGATTGATACGGCTCTGATCATACAGTATTTTTCAAAAAATTCGACCATCAAATTAAAATATTTAACACTACAAAAGTTTAAAACATATTTTATACTTTAATTTGATGGTTGAATATTTTGGAAAAAAATAGAATAATAGATAGCACAATTGTGTAATATAAACAGTAGTTTATTTAATTTATAACTGGATGGAGTCATGGAGACAGAGAAATCAAACAAATTTAAAGGAAAAATTTTACATGTTTTACAATATTTAAATCATATAAATAAAGAATCATCTAAACATATATTTATCATTTATTTAAATGATCATTCTTTTCATTGTTGGGTTGTATTTTTATTATCTACAATAAAAAAAATATCTTCCATGACTCGATTGATCCAAATAATTAAACAAAAACAAAATAATACAGCTGTAAAATAAAAATCTATTTATTCATATATACTGTATTTTATATACAAATTGCACTAAAGAATCCATGTTTTATCGAAATTTATGTTTAGGTTTTTCTTTATTATTTTGGTTATCTTTGTTGGAGATGAATTTGTCTAGTAACCAAAATGAGACATAAAACTAAATATATAATCGTACAATTTTTTTTGAAACAAGGGTTAAATATATTCATACAAGTTTGTTTTTTAAGTAGTAATCATTGTTTATTTTGAGTTTAATGCTTACTTTACCTTTCACCATTATTTTTTTGGTTCTGGATAATACTTCTTCAAACTAAATTTTAAATTTACCTTTTACTACTCAAAGCTAATAACTTTTGTATTTAAGTTATTTTGAGTTGATTATGGGTAATATCGAATGGGGATATATATTAGTATAATTTTCAGTTTTTTTAAAAAATGTGTAAAACATAACATATTTTGTGAATAAAACAAACAAAAAACAACTCTCTATTCCAAACTAGTATAATAATGGTTTCAAATGATAAAACGTACTGCATCGGACAATAACAACTTAAATGATTGATGGTGAAAATAATACTCCAAATCAAACGATTTTGAAATGCCAATAAAAATGTCCCGCAAATTAACAACTAGTACAAGTTAAATTACTTGAACAGTTCAAGGCTCGCATGTGCAGTGTAGTACAAATTAAATTACTACGAGGTTTTCTGTAGACGACAATTTTCTTGTTGCCAACTGTTAAGATTATATATATTGTAAGACGCGATAATTTTGCTGTTACAGCTAAATATGGGGTATTTTATGAAGATTAATAAGATTATATAATGAACTTTCACGATCTTAGTAGTCAATAAAGATTTGATCTATCCTACTATTTGGTCGTATAAAATATAGACCAGGCACTCAAAAGTCTATATGGTCAATGTACTCAAAAGTCTTCTTCAGTAAAACGAATACTATAAATTACAGTCGATGTCCCACCATTAATTAACTACGTGCATAGTTTACAAATCTACGCTACGCAATTGAAGATTATCAAACACATTAATTATCTAGTCGATATCAATCATACAGCTAATTTAAAGGATTAATGCATGATAATCTTGAATCTTGACTTTAAATAAAAAAGTTTTTTTTTTTATAGCAAATCATTATATTTTGGTTGTTAGTTCGTAAATTAATCTTATACTACTATGAAAAGACTTTGATATAAATAGATAACTATGAACAGTTAATAATCAGCAATTCATGGACCCTACTGGCACTGATACTTATTTCTCAACGTGACAACGACTCTGTTTGTCTGTTTGGTCAATGCTATCTGGAAATTAATGGGTTGCCACTTGTAAATTTTGTAATTAAAGTCAGAACTATATATATATATATCACGTGCGAAATTGGACGACGTGATTTGATACATGTTCGCATTTAGTTCCTCTACTCGTACTATATAGTATTTAATTTTTCTTAGTATTTAAAATGTGAGAACCATTCTCGCATTTCCATAACAGCTGTATTATTTACAGCTCAGCTCACAGTAGTGAAAACAATATTAGAATTCACAGGTCTTTCTTTATTGCATTCAAAAGTCTTCCCTGAAATGAAAAGTCAGAAATTGTCATTTCTATTATATCTTTTTCATTCAATAATTATCTTCCGCATGCATTATTCAATAGTATAGTTTTGTAGGAAAGCAAATTAAAATACTAGCTATTAATAGTGATCTAACACACGAATAAAACAAAATGTGATGTAAACATACACGAGCTACCCCTACCACACATCTCACAAAAATTTGAGAGCATAATAAATACACACAATTGACTTTGTCAAACAAAAATAAATACACACAATTGAGTGGTAAAAACATTTATGGTTTAGAAAATGGTTATATGATTAATTAGTGCTTCTCTGTTAGATTCGATTTACTTTTGTTTTTGTTTTGCTATATTTATTATGTTTTCATCCACGGTAACCAACTAACCATTCAAAGTTACTATTGAATTATCATTTTAACCATTCAAAGTTACTATTGAATTAACATTTCTTTTATGGCCTCTTATATGATACTCCAATTTTTTTAATGAATTATACATTTAGTTATGCGGCCAAAACTTTTGTTCTACGATTATATTTAAAATATCTTACTAGTTGACAAATACAAAAATCTGACTACTAAGATTTTTTTGTCGTCATACTCATACAATATCTGTTAAATCATTAAATTCCTAAATTTATCGACTAATCAGAAGTAGATTTTCATTAAACTGAGTTATTTCTTAAAATTATATTATTTTCAAGATCAGGCTTTTTCTTATTTTTAATTTTTTGTATATATATAATTTCACTCCTAAGGATATCAAAATTGATTAGCTCTTTTTATATTATAGATATCAATAATTGTTTTATATAAAAAATTTTTTTAAGGAAAAATTGTTTTATACAAATGTTATTTTATCCGTGAATGGAGACCGATGTATTTACCTAGTAGGTTTAAATTTCCAAATAAACTTTGAACTTTAAAAAGTTACCGAGAAAATAAGATTGCCAAAAGAAAAAAAAAGTTCTAATTTTTTTTTCTTTCTTTTTCCGCCTTTCTGGTTTCATATTTCGCCTATTTGGCAATTGACTGAAGTTGCAAGAGAGGGAGACGCAGAGTTGCTTCTTCTCCGGGGAAACAGGTAAGAATCATTTCTTCTCTGAGAAATGTTTCATTTTCCGAATACTTTGTGAAATGGGTAGAAGCTTTCTGGTGAAAAGTTTAAACCTTTGTTAGTGATTATCTTAGGTCGATTATCGATTTGGTTATGGAGTCGCTTCGAGGAACTTGATCTATATAGACTTTTTGAAAATCCATTACTGTTCAATCTAGCTTTTTTATAGTATTCAAAGGTCTTTCTTTACAGAATCCTTGATTTTGACTTGCGTTGAGAAAGAGAGAGAGAGAGAGAGAGAGAGAGAGAGAGAGAGAGAGAGAGAGAGAGAGAGAGAGAGAGATAGAGAGAAAGTAGGAGCTTTTAGGTTAATTTCAGATATGTATTGTGTTATGAGTTCTGCATTTTCTTCTCCACAAAGATCCTTGAAAGAGAAGGTCTTTATCATTCTGATCTTTCAATATTTTGCAGATTGTGTTTCATTTGAGAGCTGAGAAGAAAAGGTGCCATGGCTTCTTCGGAGAAGTCCTCGGAGCAGCCGGAACCGGAGAAGAAATCGGAGCCAGTGCCGAAACCGAAGGCGAATCCAGATCCGGTGGATGAGTCAAAGGCAGGAGATGATGATCCAGCAACATACATCATAACCATGCGTCAGATTGTGGAGACTCTGCATACAATATTTCCACCTGCGCCAGTGAAACCAAGAGCACAGCCAGAGCAAATAAGGAAGTCTAAGAGCAGCATTCCTCCCACGAGTGCCCCTCCTAAGGACCAGCAAGCGAATCTGGATAGACAAACAAGTGCTCCGGTTGATTCTTTGAACCGTGACGAATCCGATAACTCGATTCAGAAGCTGAAACGTAACCTCCGTCTGCTAGAGGAGGATGTGGCTAAGCTAAAAGTACTCAACCAAGTGGTTGGAGAGGAGGTGAGCGGACATATTGATCCACTTGGCAAACTGCTTCGGAAAGTTGAAAATGGATCCTCCAAAACTCAGTTGACCAAAGGTATGAAGAAAGATTTGGATGCTATCAACAAGAAGATCTTTAACTTGATGTGTCAGGTCCCTTTGCTCCCCAACAAACGCAGAAAGCCTGGAGAGTCAGATTCTGACGCTGGCGAGGTGGAGAATGACGGTAAAGGTATCGAATGCTTGCCCGGAATACATGTAAACGAGGAAGATCTCAAAAGACTCGCGGTTTTCAGAGAAGTCAGAGCAAAGTTCACGGGGCTTAGTACTGACCGCCAGATCTGCCTGCTGAGCTTCGGTGTGTTCCCGGAGAATCAAGAGGTGAATAGAACCATGCTGATGTATTGGTGGATCGGTGAGGACATTCTGCCTCGTGGAGCCAAACCCGAAGACGCTGTGAAAGACATTCTCAAGGAGTTCATGGAGAAAAAGCTGATTGAGCCTGTGGAAAACAAACGCAAAGTGGAGCCAAATAGCTATAAGATGACACCTTTTGTGCATTCTTCAGTGGTGCTCATCTCAGAGGAGATTGGACTTTTCAATATGTACCAAAAGGCGACGAAGCCAAAGATGAAGCATTCAGAGTTGAAAAAGGTTTGCCTTGTGGAAGATTCTTCAAGCCAGCCAGAAGCAAAAGCTAAGAAAATGCCAGCAGAGGAGATCGAAACAGTGTTCAATGTTTCTGAGAGGTTTCCGGATTTCGCATTCAAGTGGTTCTCGGAGGAACTAACAGCAACGAAGAAGAAGAAGTTTAACCCTCTAGGAAAAACTACGTTCAAGACGCTCAAGGTTTTTTATTTGGGTAGATGGGAGAGAACGGCCAAGCGCCACATCGAGGTAGAGAGTCCTGAGCTTATGAAATACTTGAAGCATATGAGGAAACTCAGGCTCTTGAGTTTTCAAGGGATCTCAAGAATTGAAAGACTCGATGATGCTGTCTGTAAGCTTCATGAGCTGATCATCTTGGACCTAAGGGCTTGCTATAATCTGGAGAAACTCCCAGACAAGATAGATTCACTCAAGGCACTGATCTACTTAGACATTACAGATTGCTACATGATTGATCGCATGCCCAAGAGGCTGTCGTGGCTGGACAACTTGGAGGTTCTCAAAGGCTTTGTGGTTAGTGATGCTACTGATGAGGAGACGTTCTGTTTGCTCTCTGAGCTGAAGCACTTGAAGAAGCTGAGGAAGCTAAGCATTACAATTAACAAGGGAGGGGAGTTCACTGCAACTCAACTGTTTGTGGATATTGAGGATTTCGTCAGCCTCGAGAAGCTGAAAGTGGCGTGGGGAGGTATTAATGAACACAAGAAAGACGTACCTACTGTTGGGGTCGCAAAGGAACTCTTCAGATCGATTACACGCATTCCTATTAGCAAAGTTCCCCCACAAGCAAAACTTTTGAGGGATCCAAAGCATCTTCCCAAGAATTTGAAGAAACTGGACCTGCAGTGCTTTCCTGATCCGGAACTTCCCTCATGGCTTCAGCCTAGTCAATTAGATACTCTGGAGAAACTCTACATTAAAGGAGGAACCAAACTTACTGGATTTGAAAAGTTACAAGACCGGGAAGACCCTGAGGAGCCAACGAAGTGCAATGTCAAGGTTTTACGTCTGAAGTTTCTTCCCAGGCTAAAAGTGGAGTGGAGGGAGCTAAGGGAGCTGTACTTTCCAAAACTGGAGTTCTTGGATAAGTATCAGTGTCCTCAAGTTAGCCTCTGCCCATGCGATGGTATCGGAATCTGGCGCGAGAAGTCTAAGCAACTCTGAACTTAGAGTCACTCGGTTTTTCCCAAGTTTTTCTTTCCTTAGTCGTTGCTGTTTTTGTTGTTGTGTGTTTGCTTCCTCATTTCCCATTGATGTCTTCCTCGTTTGCTTTCAAGTGTTGTTGTTTGTGAACAGTTGAAATAAAGGAGTTTGGAGTGTTTGCTTTGCTTATCTTGTGATACTTGTGGTTCTAAAGAAGCTATGAAGGATTAAGAAATGTAACATGTTAAACTGAGAAAGTCTACAATGCAGAGAGGCTAAGAGTCAAAAACACTCAGATAAACTGCAAATGGAAAAGAAGGTAGACAAAAACTATCACTTATGGTTTCTTCAGGTTAAAAGATCAACACTTTCAGACACTAAGCTTCAGAAACATTGCTGACATTCTGGATTATCGATACAACAGAAAGACATAGAGACAACATCAAAGCAGAGAAACAGAAAACAAGAAATATAGAAACACAAAAGCAAGCTTGATAACACGATGAAAAAGGGCTCTTCAATCTTCTTAAACCGTCGGAGTTTGAGTAGTTCTATTCTCTTCTGTGGTGGTGTTTTCGGCTGAGCCGGTTGTTCCATTGGTCGAACCGTTCGGGTCAATGTTTTCATCGTCAAGAAACACGGGAAGAAGCGTTGCCATAAGTCTAACAGCTAGAGGAAGACCACGAGACTTGTTCATCAGCTCATCTATGCATTTCTTGTCGTTCCTCGGAGGATCTTTCTCCTCATTCTCTTTGAGCGCTGCTTCGTAGATCCTCCAGACACTCACGGAATCAGTCAGAGGCCAAAGACGATGTATCTCGTGTTCCTCTGCAACTAGCTTCTTGGCCAGATTGTTTTTCTCATCCCTGGTCGTGTATATGACTCTTCCACCAGAGCCTTTAGGGAATCCATCTGAGAGATACTTTCCCCATTTCTCATCCTTCTTGAGTTTATCCTCGTCGTCTTGAAGCATCTCGTTCCAATTGTCTTCTTCACGCACATCATCAAACACGATCAGATACTTCTTCCACCTCAGATCCAAGTGAAGTGCGTAGAGCAGAGCAGAGAGCTCCTTCTCTTCCGCCGTCTCTCTATCGATTTCTCCAGCTTGTTTCTTGTCTGCAGCTTCCTGATTGTTTGCAGCTTCTTCTTTTGTCTCTTTATGGATGTAAGCGAGCATCTCGTCATCAACGCCAAGACCCTTCAAGATCTTCTTCAACACACATATTTTCCCACCAAGGCCTTCCTTGGGTTCATTGCTTTTCATAGACACCCAGATTCTTGGAGCATAAACACTCTTGACATCTTCGTCGTTGAAGATCGTCTTGCATAATGCTGTCTTCCCAACACCGTATTCTCCGACCACCACAAGACTCTTGAACTCATTGTAGACCTTCTGATCCAACAAGAAGTTCTTCAAAGACTTGATCTCGTTCTTGAAACCGTAGATTTCATGGAGTGGGATTTCAGAATTGGTTGCCACACGATCATTCTCATCCGCTTCCACGCTCTTATTCAAGGCGCCAGCAGAAAGATATTTATCTTTGGAAACTACTTTTTCGTTTCTCGGGAGGCGATTATCGACCCAATCCTTATATCTCTCTTCGAAGCGTTGTTTGAAGTTGCGTTTCTCTCCTCCGTGCTGTGAAATACTTGTAGACATATTCAAGCAAAGCTAAAAAAAAAACAGAACAAGAAAAATATGCAGGAAAGGAGAATATGAAGAAGATGAAGAAAAGAATAAAAGGATGAGCAAATGAGAGAGAGAAAAGTATAATCTATGTTTTGTTACTGTATTGTGTATGTTTAGTAAATATAATTATAACACTTTTTTGATAGGAATGCGAAATGAAACTAGGCAAAAGTTACCTTTGAGCTACAGTATGTTGTTTATAATTATGCCCATAATAACATTTCTAAACATATTGAGGTATTTTAACAACAACTACGTTTTTAATTATTTCAACGAGGGCGATAAGTCCACAAAAAAATGAACTGTAAATAATTAAATATGGTGAAAAATATAAAATACAAAAATCGCCGTCCCCACGTTGATTTTTATACGTAAATGTACTCCAGATTTTAGGAAAATAATTAAAAAAGACCCACATTTAAAGAATTAAAGTCGTCGTAAATGTATTGGCACAAAAAGTCGTCGAAGTAAATAATATACTTTCATATCTACAATTTAAAAATATGCTCAACTTTACCATTATTTATAATTAATTTCAAAAATAATAAATACAACCCAACTGTTATATTTTTTAAGCTTATATGTCCAGCTGTACTGGTATTATATAAATGCATAACATTATAAATTTGAAGTAAGCCAACTCGGTTTCCGGAAATTTGTCATCACAATATCACATGGCATGACAAGACGTGGGAACAGTTTTCAATTGGTCAGTAAAAAAGTAAAAAAGTAAAGCATATTTATTTGGGTCAGTAAATATAGTGTGACCCTGACCCATTATCAAAGTTATTTGGCTGCTATGGAAATAATTGCAACCAAGTAGGGTCGAGGAAGAAGAAAGAAAGTGATTCTGATTAGAAAATGACTAAGCAGTTCAATATTATTTCATTAGAAATAAAAATTCTACATTTGGTTGAAAGAAAAATGCGATATATTTTGTCGAAGTGCTGTCTTTTTATTTTAATCATTCATACAGACTTTTACCAGAGAGTATAAAGAAAAACAAATAAAGGCTTGGAGATAATATTAAGTATTAACGGATTATAAATTAGAAATAAATAAAATAAATGTACTTTAACAGGTTTTTAGAGAAGTAACAAGAGTTCACATGGCAAATTTTGTATTCGAGATAACCTCGTAAGCGGTATATGGTATTTAACGAATACAAAATGTAGAAGACAAGAGAAACTTTTAGATATGAGAATCTTTAATTTTATTTTATAAAACTTTAAAACTATCACGATTACGTATCACACTATCACTAGCTTAAACAAATGATTCAGACAAGTTAAAATATAAGCATATATTCCATTTTTGAAAATGACAAAACAAGGTAAAAAAAAAGTTTACAGCAGGCGAGAATGATATATTTTATAAAAAAAATCTTAGAGCAAAGAAAAACAAAAAACAAAAAGACAAGACTTGGGGAGCTCTAAGAACACGTTTGACTAACCTCAGGTCTTCAAGAGGCCTCCAATGGCTGTACACGCAGAATAACTCACACCTTCTCTCACACACACCAAAAACAAAAATATCAAAAAGAAACAAGTCAAAACCTCTGTAGATGCATCAGTGTTGTGTCTCAGAAACCATCATTTCTTGTCTGTTCCAAAAAATAAGGAACTAATTTCAGTTTCAAGATGGTAAACCCAATCCCAAAGCCAATCAAAGACATCTGGGACACATGGAGTATCAGAAGTACCTTAATCTTCAGTCTCAGTCTTCAAACATTTCTCATTTTCGTTGCACCTCAAAGGAAACGCACATCAAGAAAAGTTTTACTCTCTCTCATCTGGTCAGCTTATCTTCTAGCCGATTGGGCAGCCAATTTCGCCGCCGGACAAATCTCGGATAGCCAAGGAGACGATCCAGAGCCCGGAGAGCCTAAAAAGAACAGCGAGCTTTTAGCCTTTTGGGTTCCTTTCTTGCTTTTGCATCTCGGTGGTCCAGATACAATCACTGCCCTAGCTCTTGAAGATAACGAGCTATGGCTCAGGCACTTGTTGGGTCTTGCCTTTCAAGCGATTGCAACCGTCTATGTGCTTCTGCAGTCTGTACCCAACGCTCTCTTGCAACCCATTTTGCTTGTGTTTGCGACAGGTGTGATCAAGTATGTCGAGAGGACATTAGCCTTGTACCTGGCGAGTCTTGACAAGTTTAAGGACTCCATGATTCAGCGGCCTGATCCTGGACCAAACTACTCGAAGCTTATGGAGGAATACGAGGCTAAGAAGCTTATGAAGATGCCTACACAGATTATCAAGATGGACGAGCCTGAGAAAGACCCAAAAGCCAGTGCTAAGGTCAGGCCTGACGTTCTGTCTGAACTCAATATTCTCCAGTACGCTTACAAGTACTTCAACATCTTCAAAGGTCTTGTGGTTGATCTCATCTTTACCTTTCAACAACGAGCTGAGAGCAAGAGGTTCTTTAGCTCACTTACAGCAGAGGAAGCTCTGAGAATCTTAGAGGTTGAGCTCAACTTCATCTACGAAGCTCTTTACACGAAAGCTGAGATTCTGCATAATTGGATTGGAGTCATCTTCAGGTTCATTGCCCTTGGATGCCTCATAGCAGCACTACGCATCTTCCAGTACAAGAAGAAGAACGACTACGGTGGATTTGATGTTGGACTCACTTATGCATTGCTGATAGGAGGAATAGCTCTGGATTCCATTGCTCTTATCATGTTTTGTCTATCTGACTGGACTTTTGTAAGATTGAAGAAAATGAAGGACGAGGTGGACGACGAGGACACCTGGTTAGACTTTACTCTAAACTGGATTCTCGGGTTCAGGGGATTGAAGACAGAGAAGTACAAATGCTTCAAGAGTAACGAGCATAAACAAGACAAGGAAGAGAACTGGTTCGTCAAGATTTATAACCGGGTGCTCAGATACATGGGGTTGAAGAAGAACAATGAAGACACAAGCCCCAAGAGTACCAAGGCAAAAACGTCTCATGAAGGGGACAATGGATGGTTTGACAAGATCCTCAGTTCCGTGGGGTTGGAGAGGAAGGAACACACAAGCTGCAAGAGTAATGAGGAGGGTACGGCTCATAAAGGGGAAGAGATGAAGGAACACACAAGCGGAAAGAGTACCGAGGAGGCTACGTCTCGTGAAGGGGAGGAGAGGAAGGAACACACAAGCAGCAAGAGTCCAGAGGATAGTAAGTCTAGTGAAGGGGACAATGCAGTTAGCTGGTTCGACAAGATCCTCAGTTCCATGGGGTTGCAGAAGAAGGTAAAAAACTGCGGCGAGACGGACAAAACGTGTCATAAAGTGCTCGACACTTTCTTTATGGTACGCAGGTGGTCTGAGTACGTTCACGCACACAACTTGATCGAATACTGTCTATGGATAAGGCCTCAGAGAATCCACCATACCAAAGGTTTCATACACATGTCCTTTGACTGGCTTATCAAGTACCTTCTCATTGGTCCCATCTTTAAAGGTTTAGGGAGCTTAATCGCATTCTGTTTCAACGCCATAAAGCAGGGAAGTGATCAGTTTTACAAGTGGATTGACCACAACATCAGTCTCTTGTGCAAGAACAAAAGATGGATAAACGAAGATCGCATTAGGTGGTGTATCTACTGGTCATTTTGCATTCCTCACTTTCTTGGATATTTAATAAAGAAGTTCATGGACTTCTTTGGGATCCAAGCTCAGCTGGACGAGGTGATCTTCACGTCCAGTGATCGTCTCACCGTGGAGCTCTGGAAACACATATTCGGAGAGGTTCTGAATAAGTCCCGCTTCGCTGACGACTCAGAGAGCGCCATGAGGGTATCTTCAGCTAGAGGTGACTGGACTCTGCGTGACATACAAGGCGAAGACCCCAAGACGGAGAAGAAGCGAGAGAAGCTTCTACGCTACGTGATGGAGATGGATTACGATCAGAGCCTTCTTGTGTGGCACATAGCCACAGAGCTCTTGTACCAAACGGAACATGGCACTGAAGATAGCCACAGTGACCGTGAGTTCAGTAAAATCCTCTCAGACTACATGATGTACCTCATGATGATGCAACCCACTCTGATGTCAGCTGTTGTTGGTATCGGTAAAATAAGATTCAGGGACACCTGCGAGGAGGCAAAGAGGTTCTTCGTTAGGAGGCATATCGCATACAGAGACATAACCAAGGCAAGCGATGCAATCTTGTCTGTTACAGCTCCAGCGAAAGCTGAACCAATCGACGTGAAAGGTGATAGAAGCAAGTCAGTGCTGTTTGATGGGAGCATGCTGGCGAAAGAGCTCAAGGGTTTAATGGAGCTTCAAGGGATAAAGGAAGAGGAGGTTAAAGGCTTGAAGGGAGAAGCATACATGTGGGACGTAGTGAGCAAAGTGTGGGTTGAGTTGCTTTCTTACGCAGCTACTAACTGTGGCGCTATAGAACACGCGGCTCAGCTTAGCAAAGGTGGAGAACTCATCAGCTTTGTTTGGCTGTTGATGGCTCATTTTGGACTTGGAGACCAATTCCAGATCAACCAAGGAGATGCCAGAGCCAAACTGATTATAGGCAAGTGATTATATGAGTAGTTATGTGTTCTCTTTTTTGTACCAAAGAGTATTGTCTTGAAGTTCTTGCAGCTATCATATCATTACCAGCAATTGTCTTGTTCTTGAATCATTCTGCATTGTGTTGTAACTCCAAAGTTTGGCTGATACACTCATTCATGTGAGCTTGATTGATTCCTTTGATACTCTTTATTGAATCGAAAGAAGAGAACTCTGTAAAAGGCTCTTCCTTTTCATCCTGCAAAATCAATAAACAAGGACCTTTCAAGTTTCAATGAGATTTCTCAACATCTTCAGGGAAATTGATAAAGTGATGGTAGTGAATATCTAATTTAGAGAAAACTTCAGAGTCGCAGGAGGCGTTAACTGATGCAACCAAGAATCACTATAGCATAGTTCAAATTCGTGATACATTTTTTCCCTAACGGCGAATTGCTACGCTTAAACAGTATTGAAGAGTACGAAGATACCAAATTCATATGAAATTAAAAACTTATCTCAGATCATGATGAAGAATCGTTTCCACAAACCTTCCAGATAAAAGTTACTCCAATTTTCATTTTTCCGAGAAAAGGAGATGAATGGTGGGTTTCTGTGAATTTCAGTTTCAGTTTTTTTATTCCTGACCAAGAATGTTTTTTATCTGACCTAATAATTTAAACTCAAATTTATCAAACTCTATTTTTTTGGGTGACGAGTTTTTTAAATACGGTTTTCAAAATCAGGTTAAATTAGCTGCTTCGACAATCATACAATTAACCAAAAAAATAATCAGTCGAAAAAGTGAAGTAAAACAAACACAATTATTTTTTTTTGTCTAACAATGAAATCCGAGTTTAGTGGATCAATTCAAAAACGACGCGAGCTCAACTAATGACACTTGGGCTTTAACTAATTGTAATAATTAATATAAAACATATTTTGCATTATAAAAAAGACCAAAAGACCAATAGTTAAGTCGTCGTCTCTCAAGTCTCAACCCCCGCCAAAAAAAAGGACGCATTGATTGTTACAAAAAGAAAAGAATAATTGATGAAAATGCAAATTAATTCTTAATATTAAAAAAAACAAAATACAGCTAGACCTGAGCCGCTGTGTCGTCTCGTCTCTCTCTCTCTCCCGAGTGAGCCTCTGGTAAAACACAAATAACAAGAAAAAGAACATCAATGGCTTCCCAACACCATTATTCCACAACACCCCAGATTCCTTAAGTAAATCTGAGAAAAAAAACATATCATTAGCCAGAAAAGAGAGAAAGACGAACCATATTAAGAGAGCAAAAAAAAGGAACAACTTCAAATTTCTCAAGTGAATCTTAGAGAGAGAGAGAGAGAGAAAAGGAAGAAACTTTTTGTCTTTTTCTTTAGAGAGCAACCAAAAATGGTGGAAGTGATACCAAAACGCATCAAAGATGTGTGGGATAGATGGAACATAAGAGGAGCAATCATTCTGAGTCTAACCCTTCAAGCGATTCTCATCTGCTTCTCCCCACTAAGGAAACGCACACCGAAAAGGCTCTTGATCATGCTCGTTTGGTCCTCTTACCTCTTAGCAGACTGGTCTGCTAATTTCGCCGTCGGCCTCATCTCCAAGAACCAAGGTAAAGGTTCAAAACCCGGTGACCCTCCACAGGACAAAAAGCTCATGGCTTTATGGGCACCATTCTTGCTCTTGCATCTTGGTGGACCCGACACAATCACGGCTTTTGCGCTCGAAGACAACGCTCTTTGGCTCAGGCACGTCTTTGGTCTCGTCTTTCAGGCGATTGCTGGTGTCTATGTAGTTCTTCAGTCTATCCCCAACAGCCTCTTGCTGATAATCATCCTAGTGTTCGCTTCCGGGACTATAAAGTATCTGGAGAGGACAACGGCTTTGTACAGTGCGAGTTTGGACAAGTTTAGAGACTCTATGGTTCAAGCACCAGATCCAGGACCCAACTACGCCAAGCTCATGGAGGAGTACAAGGCCAAGAAAGAGGCGAGACTGCCCACGAAGATCATTCTGATCGATGAGCCTGACAAGGAATCCAGGCCTAAGAAGTTAGTGCATCCATCAAAGGCCGTGACTGATGAAATCAAAGAGTCAATGCATCAATCAAAGTCTGGAGAAACAAAAAAGGTGGTAAGAGAAGCGTTGCACGATCTTGAGATTGTTCAATATGCTTACAAGTTCTTCAACACGTTCAAGGGACTTGTGGTCAACCTAATCTTCAGCTTCAGGGAGCGTGACGAGAGCCTTGAGATCTTTGAGAATCTTTCTGATCCAGAGGAAGCTCTGAGGATCATTGAGATCGAGCTCGGTTTCCTTTACGACGCTCTGTTTACCAAAGTCGCGGTTCTCCACACCGCTATTGGATGTGTCTCGCGTGTTGTTGCTTCGGGTACACTTGTGGCAGCTTTCGTCCTCTTTCATAAGAAACCACACAAAGGCAGAGAGTTTCATGGAGCTGACGTTGTGGTTACCTACACGCTCTTCATCGTTGGACTAGCTTTGGATCTCATATCCATCATCCTGTTTTTGTTCTCTGACTGGACCTGTGCTGCACTGAGCAGCTTGAAAGACGACCCTGAAGAGTCTCTATCGTCACCGTTAGATAAAGCTTTCAACTGGTTACTTAGTTTAAGACAGTTGCGTTGGAAGCCGCAAGAATGCCACAAAGATGCGCATGAGTGCACCCACAAATGCAAGAAGCCGTGTCCCAAGGAAACTGTGGATAAGTGTTCAAAGGACCTGCATCACGAAGTGCTCACGACTCCGTTCTTCCTCCGGAGATGGTGTGGAAGCATTAACGTTTTCAACTTTCTTGCCTTTGCCACTAAAGCAAAAGTAGAGAGGATCCACGACGCCAGAGGAAGTTTCCGCAAAAACTCATGGAAGGTCTTTGCTTACCCATTTGAAAAAATTAACTTGGTCATCCAGAAACTCAGTGGATGGATGGCCAAGTTGATCAATGTTGTGCACAAGTTGATCAGCTTTGAGATCAATGAGACGTCAAGAAAACATCCTTGGGCTCGTCGTACTATCCACCCTCTCTATTTCGGGTTCCTATCCCAAATTCCTCATTTCATCAAGTTCGTGTGGGATAAGCTCAGCGACTTCTTCGACATCTCTGATATGCTCGACATGGTCTACAAGACTCTGTTTGTGCACGGAGAGCCCATGACGAAAGAACTTTGGGTGTTTATGTTCAATCAGTTGAAGTACAAATCAAAGTTTGGAGACAGTCCTGAAAACGCCAAAAGGATATCTCTGGCTCGAGGAGAATGGACTCTAAGAGACAACCTGCCAGAGGAAGCAGACCGGGAGAGACTGGTGCGTTATGTCACAGACTTTGATTATGATCAGAGTCTTTTGATGTGGCACATCGCGACCGAGCTCTGTTACCAACAGAAAGAGACCGTCTCTAAGGATCATAGATATGATCATTGCAGTCACCGTGAGTACAGCAAAATCATCTCGGACTACATGATGTATCTCCTGATCATGCAGCCTGGTTTAATGTCCGAGGTTGCTGGAATTGGGAAGATCAGGTTCAGAGACACGTTGGCCGAAGCTGACAAGTTCTTCCACAGGAGGCATATCGAGGACAAGAGGAGCGTGAAGATAGCCACGGAGACGATTCTTGACGTTAACAGTGAGATTGATCCGATGGGGGTCAAGGGAGATAGAAGCAAGTCTGTGTTGTTTGAAGCAAGCAGGCTGGCTAAAGAGCTTATGAAGCTGGAGGAGAAGCATGGGATAAGCAAATGGAAGATACTGAGCAAAGTGTGGGTGGAGCTGCTCTGTTATGCGGCGTGTCATTGCGACTCTACAGCTCACGTGGAGCAACTCAGCAGAGGAGGGGAGCTCATCAACTTCATTTGGCTTTTGATGGCTCACTTTGGGCTAACGGATCAATTCCAGATCAACAAGGGAGATGCAAGAGCCAAACTTATTATAGGCAAGTGATGTATAGGAACCGTTGTTCCATAACTTTTGCAAATTCCTAGTGTCTAAGTCCATTCTGCATTGTAGTTCTTCTTCCACTTTCTGCTCGAAACTATGAACTGTTTTCTGCAAAGAGATGATGACATTGTAAGCTTTTGTGATGGAATATTCTGATGTTTATTACACCGTTTGCTCAAACATTAAGTCTTTCTTCTGCTTTCTTCTCAAAACCATTAACTACGTTTATGCTCAACAACACAATCCTGCACAGACAGAGCCTAAAGATCGAATCTTTACTAGTAATTATTGCTTGGACAACTAAAATAGACTTAAAGACACATTGATACCTATTTAAGTATGTATTTCTTATATAAACACGATGATTATTATATGTATATAAAATTCACCTTGACTATATCAACGTAACCAAGCAACCATCTCTCTCCTCTCTTCTTTCTTGTCTTCTTCTTTTATCTTCTTCCTGAAAAAAAATCAAAAGCTCGTGTTATGTTATCACTTACAGATCTTTATATCTTTTAGCTTTGCTTGAACATGGCTACGGAAATTACATTACACCACGGATTAGGCAAAGGCGATTTCAGACAACGGTTCTATGCCAGATGTGAAGAATGGATCGCAAAAAATCAAGTTCTTGAAGAAAGTAAACATCCTTCTTCAGTACTCTTGGTGGAGGAGGATCGTGCGGAAACCAAGCCTGCAGTTCCAGACCATGAAATCTACGGTTTTAATAACGAGATCAAGTCACTGGAGGACTTCTTGTTGGATCAGAAGGTTTACAGAGAGTTCATGAGTCTTGTGATTGTTGGAGAGTACGGCGTGGGGAAGACAGCTTTGTGCCAAATGATCTTTAATAATGAAAACGTGAAGACTACATATGCCCCGAGGATTTGGATTTCTATGCACAGCAATGAATCTAAAGAAGGCGTTGATGGAAAGATATATGTGTTGAAGAAGATCTTGAAGGGTCTTGGAGTTGAAGGTGACGTGTTCGAAAGCATCCATAGAGAGGCAGAGGAAGAAGCTGCAAACAGCCAGGAAGCTGGGGAGATTGATGGAGAGACGGGGAAAGAGAAGGAGCTCTCTGCTCTGCTCTACGCTCTTCACTTGGATCTGAGGTGGAAGAAGTATCTGATTGTGTTTGATGATGTGCGAGAAGAGGACCATTGGAACGAAATGCTTCAGGAGGGTGAGGTTAGACTCAAGAAGGATGACAAATGGGGAAAGTATCTCTCAGATGGATTCCCTAAAGGGTCTGGTGGGAGAGTCATATACACGACCAGAGATCAGATATTGGCGAAGAAGCTAGTTGCAGAGAAGCATGAGATCCATCGTCTTTGGCCTTTGTCTGATCCTCATAGTCTCTGGAGGATTTATGATGCAGAGGTCACGAAGCAAAATAAATATCCTCCAAGCAAGGACAAGAAATGTGTAGATGAGCTGATGAACAAGTCTCGTGGTCTTCCTCTAGCTGTTAGGCTTATGGCCACGCTTAAACCCGTGTATCTTGACGATGAATTATATCCAGAGGACAATGCGACCTATCCACTAAACACCTCCGGCTATTAAGCTGCTTTGCTTCTTGTATGTGTTTCTCTGGTTTGATGTTGTCTGTTTTGTCATTATGCTGCATCAGTAATACAGAGTTTCTTCAATGCCAATAATGTTTCTTGAGCTTATTGTCTGAAACTGTTAGCTTTTATCTGGAGAAACTATTAGAGAGATGTTAATCTTTGGTTTCCTCATCTCTTTGTATTTGCAGTTAATCAAAGTGTTGTACTGTATTAGTTGGAAATCACCCAAAACAAAGTGAAAGTTTCAACAGATATACCTCATAATTATAGTGGATTGATAAATGTGTAACTAATACAACATAACACAATACAAACTCCAATCATATTTTTCTTACAGGAACAACAACAATGTCCATTATTAACCCATGGCATTGATCTTCTAGACCAATTACAGCTAGTTAACACATTGTATGGGGCAGGCTATTAAAAAAAAATTACTTTGTGTTGACAAAACTCCTTACAAACAAAGCAAAGGATCTAGCTAAGACATATGATTGTTGCGCAGAACATTTAACTTTTTTGATCCAAGAAGACCGACCTCATGTAAAACTCCACTCAAGCAGACATTTAATGTGTAGGGTGACACAGCAGTACTGACCACACTTGTAAAACGGATTCTTCGGATTCAGTTTTCTCTCGCATATTTCACACCAATATGTCATGGAACTGCTCTCATCCCCATAAGAAAGTGTGAGCATATGACCATCATCTGTATACCTTACCTGTTTAGGTAAAGTAGCACAAGCAAAACACAAGGCAAAATCATCGCACTCGTTGCAAATGAATGTCTCCTTGTCCCTTGAGTCTTCGCAAACCGCACATGTTCTCCACTCTCCTGGTATGGATGTGAGGAATAACGGATGCAGGTGAGTTTCATGGGATAATGGCTCAGAAACTGTGGCGCACTGCACGTGTAGCCTGTAAGAGTTACACCCGTCCACGTCGCACCGATAGAAGAAACCAGTGCACAGCGAAGAACAAGCCGAACACGAGTTCTTTGTGTTGATAACACCGTCATATTCTCCCACTAGAGTGAGCGCATGTGGATGCGTCGGGTGATACATTGTGCGAGAGAGATTTGCACATGTCTCGTGAAGAATGAAATCACACTGCATACATGAGTAAAAGTCACCGGAAAATATCGGCAAGATGCATGCTCGACACCCTTTGCTCGCGTCGTAATCTCCCCATGTGTTACCATCAAGCCTCAAATGATGCTGTTCATGGCTGAAATGTTGTATGATTCCACCACTGTTACGCACAAACGGCTCGACTGTTTCATCTTCTTCTTCAACATCTTCAGGCACTCCTTCGAGTTCTCTACAATCCCACGCATTACTCTGTGTGACACATCTTGAATGAGCCACATAACAACAACCGCTTCTGATGCAAGAATAGCCTCCGTAGTCATTCTCCATCTTCTTCCGACAAACACCACAAGACCAATATCCTTGAGGAAAAGAAGAGGTGAAAGAGATACGATGGGCATGTCGAGATATCCTTATGACACGTGGTGAGCTTATACACGCTAGATGGACGACAAAGTCACAAGGGAGACACATGTAGATAGGGGATCTTGAATCGGCCAAGGCGCAGATGTTGCAAGTCAAGAGAACCTGTCTTGGGAACAGAGTGAGCGTGTGGTCGTGCCACTTGGGGTCGTTTATAGCCAAGAGTGGTGGTTTCTCAACACAAGCTACATTCATAGCGAAGTCGCAAGACGAGCAATAATAAAACACCACTCTGAGATCTTCATCACAGCAATAGCATTTCCGGGTTCTACTTTCCTCACCGAACAAGACAAGTTGAAGAGGATGTGGTGGATGAAAAGGGTGTTTGATCTCACCTGGAGCCTTCTCGTGTTCTTCGTGGTTCTCGCCGTTGCAACCTCTGCAGAGAAAATGGGTCGCGTCGTCTTCTTCGTCTTCTCCTGTTAACCTGAATCTCATCCAGTTTAGAGGGAGACACGCCCACTTGCCATTGCTGCTGCTCCAGAGAGCTTCTTCCGATTTTACTTGTACTTGAGGAGGGCATAAGGAAATAAGCTTCTTCCACTTTGGATTCATAGAGACGACGAGGGAGAATATTTGATGGATGAGTGATATGAGCTCCGGCTCCGGCTCGAGGCTCAATGTTTCAGTAACGAGTGACATGAACTCCGGCGAATTTGTTTGGGGAGAGATTTTTTGAGAAATGAGTGATATGAGCTTAGACAGCGGTTTCGGCTGAGAATTCAAATCCATGGAGCGTAGGAGATAAACAATTTGAGTAGTGAGTGATGTGAGCTTTGACAACGGCTTTGGCCACGAATCCAAATCCATAGAGCTAACGAGGGAGATTATTTGAGTGGTGGTTGCGATGAACTTCGACTCCAGATCCATAGAGTTGTCTAAAGACATTATTTCAGAAACAAGTGATATGAGCTCCGACTCCATAGATGATCTGAGTAAGTGGTACGAGAGATTTGGGTGATGATATGAGAGATTTTGAGTTATCAAGTAAATAAAAAACGTATTACTTGAATCTTAATATCGATTATATGTTTTTTGTTTTAACTTTTAACCGTACCTTGCGGATCTCTATGTTTTAAGTAACATAATTAAAACAGAAAATCAGGAAGGAGACTTCTCTCAAGTCAATATCAATTTTGAGATTATATATCAGAACAGTACTAAAATTGGCATTCAAGTTTCTGCACATAAAAATTGTCTCAGATGTTTGACCCAAAAAAACAAAAAAAATTGTTTTAGATTTATATGGGATGATTTTTACATTTTAGTGCTCTCCACTTTATATGTTCACGGTCACGCGGTTTTATATATATTTTTTTTTTTCTTACCATCCGTAGCTTGAGGATTTTATCTTATTATATTTGCGAATAATTAAAACAGTACAATTCTTTTTTTTTTTGGTCAAACAAACAGTACAATTCAGGTCGTCTGAACGCAAAGACAATAATATTAGAGTTTATTACACTTGCGCACACTTTATCAAACTTAGATTACAAGAAAAAACACTTACAGCTATTAAGAGTATCTCCATCCCTTACATACAGATGGAGAGTCTTTTAACTATTAATTACTATTATTTAAAGATAATTTATATAATTAGTTAATCTTTAATTTTAAAATTAAAAGTAAACCAGTTATAAGATGACAAGTATAGTAAAAATTTAAGAGACATATATAAAAATTGTATTTGAAGAGACGATTTTTGAAGAGTTTTCAACTTTTTACTTACTTTTTTATTTTTTTTCATTATTTTATTCTTAGATATTTTGTTAAAAAACTGCTGCTGGAAATGGTCTAAGGCACTTCAGCTATCTGCATTTACTAAAATATTCTTTGCTTATACACATATTTACTTTACATTTTTATTAAAAGTAAAAAATATATGTTGTTTTTTATTTTAACAATTGCAATATATCAACGATATAAAGTTTATTTCTTCGTCGTCGCATCCGACGAAGTCCTAAAAAAACTCCGACTTTGCATTTATACTAAGGATGTCAGCTATGGATTTTCAAAGATCATGTGGGAGGTCGTTGCTAAGTTTACAGCAAGACCAAGTTGACTCAACAGCAGTAGCCGCCGAAAGTAACCACCCCAAGTGAAGCAATATGGAGGTTGAGCTACACTCGTTTCAGAAATAAATCGCTGAGAAATTCATTGATCTCAATGCCTCTGGTGGTGAAAACGAGCCTCTCTCACTCTATTCATAACAGTGGTTTTCGACATTCAAAAACAACATTGCAGAACGAAACCTAGTTTATAGCCGCCACCATCACAGTTCGTCAGAATTATTTCCAGATCCAGTTATTCAACATCGAATCTATCTTCTTTGACAGACTTCTCTTCTTTATATCTCCAAACACCACCAAGAATTCTATCAATGTACATGTTAACGATAGCTTGTAAATTGAAAACTGAGTTTTGTTGCTTCTGATGGAGAAGACGATGATGGAATAATCCACTGCAATGGAGTGTACATATGGATGGTTTGACATGGACATATGAATTTAGAGTCTTTGAATATTAATAGTTGTATTGGTTACAATCTGATAAACACAAACATATAAGATACAAACACATAGACATGAACAGAAAGGATACAACTACATGGACACACTTTAGTAGATAAAAGCATAAACACATTCATATAGACAAATTCTCAGGGATAAAAATCGTAGGGACGAAACTATGAAGATGTAATAGAAAATGGACACAGTTTGATGGACACTTATGTATGGACGAGGAGATCAGAACTAAGAAAATTTGGTTTTGGTTTCAGACAAAACTTTTTCTTAAAAAATCACATAATGACGCGCATAATTTAATAAAAAGGCACAAACCATAAACTTTGGAATTTTGAACTTTAGAATTTTTACAAATTTTTGTGATGCATAATTAGTGACTTTGAAAGTGGACTACAATATGTCACACGTAGACAAGTCATCGTGGATAGCATACGATGGACAAGTAGTGTGAATACGTTATTGGCAACAAAATTAATTTTTATGTACATGGACAAGCTTTGCTTTATATCGAGATTATATGGTTAATGATTAATATTGTAAGAAATAACATAATCTTCTTATCTCTATATGTTTTTGGTTTTCACGTAATCGTGCTTGAAAACAGTTAATTTGCAGGGACAAAATACGGTTTTGCACATGATTTCGTGGACATGGTAGCATGGACATGATGTCATTGGTTTATATATACACGGACATCATATGAACAAACACTTCGAAACATGGATAGGTACGATGGATAACCAATTATGGATAATCACTTATAAGTAAACGTGAATGAAACGACAATGATCTTAGTATGTCATAGAGGCCACTCTAATGTTTTCATGGATATGTATGCGAATAGATTATATATGGATGAGTGAACGTAGATGAACAAACTTTAGGTATTGGACAACTAAGAATGGAAGACATATATATAGATAAGTGAACGTGGATGAACAAACTTTAGATGATGGTAAAATATGTTAGATACTTCATCTAAGAATACTTCATCCATATAGGTTTCATCCACCTGTACATCATCCACGAATATTTCACCCAGATTTCTCATCGAACATCGATCTACAAACCCATCATGTTTTTCTCAGCAATTGCAAAACTAATTACTCTTTCCGACTTCATCTTCTACCCAGATACCATCGATTAACATCATCTCCAAAATAAAGAAATCAACTTTTACTTTGTCCGATCCACTTTGTTTATGTTGATCCACAACAACTTTATTTTCTGGAGCGTTGCAGGACTGTGAATAGCAAACTTCAATCTGACCATTAACCTCTGCCTTCACATCGGTTTCAAATTTGTTGCAGAAAAGGCTGCAGACGGTCAGTTGACCTGTGTGTTTTTAATTTTCCGGTCAAATACAAAATCTATTGATCTTAATAAAAAAACAATTGTGGTTAATAATTAAAAAAAATATCATAAGAGAAGAGGGTAAATAAGGAAATCAGGGGTAGAAAATATAAATGAAAGTGTTCCATATTAAAAGAAGTGTGCAAAATGTAATGATATTAAGAAAAAGGTGTGCTTCCCTGTAAACGTCTCATAATAATATTACAATTTACGACTTATAATATTCGAGTTTCTACACTAATAAATTTACCCTGGATATGTGACAGTAAGGGTTAGGTTGGCCTATGCTACTTGCATAATAAAAAAGAAAACAAATCAAAATCATTGAATGATCAGCTTTGACTTTTGAGTTTTGATGCCGTATGCAGTAGCCAGTAATAATGGGAAAACAAACAAAAAAATACACAAAGGACTCGTAAACATGATCTTTTTTTTTATTAAGAACAACTTGTCGATATCTCTGGTAATGATTTAATTAAAGATCATGAAGATAAATGGGAAGGTTGTGGCAATGCAACAAACGTGGATCCTCTCTTAGATGCAGTATTTACTAAAGATATGTCTTTATATAATCAACTACTGAACATCTCTAGAAATGATGATAATGCTGCTGATGAGTGCGTGTTTCAAAGAGCTTTTGAAGGTTATTTAGTGATGACTATTTGTCTTTGACACGAGGCATAAATACACATTTTTGCTTGGGTCAACAAATATTTAGCGTAAACTGTCTTCTTGCCTAAAAATGTAAAAATCATCAGATCTTTCAAATAGAGTGAAGATCAGAATAGCCTCCCTGGGATTTTATTGCAGAAGAATATCTTAAAATAGAAAAAAGAAAACCAGTAAGATGTTTTTCAAAGCCGTTCTTAATTCAACAAGCAAAGCTTCAGACACACACAGAACAAAGAGCCTAAGCGATTGGAGGCAAAGATTTAAGATGTATATAGTAGTAGTACTGTGAAAGTAAATCTTGCTCCAGCCACTTCTGTGATCTTCAATATCTATCATGGTGATGCTTCACTGCCATCTACTATAACCCAGTCCTGCAAACACACGCAGCATAAAACGGTTATAAACCTGAAACACACAGAAAACTATGACGCAACTGATTTTTGACAATATGGATTCGGAAGTGTTCTCTCCTGCTACGAAATTTCTTTTGTCAGGAAAAAGAAAAGAAAAAAGAGCAACAGAGGCATTGATGGTCATTGGTTCATTAGAGAGGTGATAGAGTAGAAAGTTGCAACTTACCCAGCCTTCTAAATAATCCTTAAAGTTTGGACAATTCTCCACTTTCCAAGTCAGATTAGTGAGAGTTGACAATTCGAGTCCTTCAAGAACATTCTCCAGCTTCTCACAAAACTTTATGTGCAGGACTTCTAAACTACTAGGCACTTGAGCTGCCTCAGGGAAAAGAGTTCTGATTTTTGGGCAGCAATCTACGCTTAGCTTCTTCAGATTCTTGAAGCTACCACCGCAGCATATAGTCTCCAACGATGGAAGGTTTGTAATCGACAAAGTCTCCAGTGATCCCAAACGTTCCTCATCCACACCAGAAAAAAGATCTCTTATATCCAATGACATCCTTAGCCAACAACCCTTCAGTGACTTTATCTTGTTAAAGATCGATGTGAACTTTGCGTCGCTACAGTCCACAAAAGATAGAAACTCAGCATTAGCTAGGGATTCCTCACCTAGCCCATTAGTTTCATTGACCTCCGTGGCTTCCTGCTGACTTGCAGAATATAAAAACGATAATGTCTTCTTATATAGAGCCCTGTTTAAAGGAACCTGGTGAAAATGTCTGCCGCTGATACCTCTACTGTAACTGGAGCGAGGTACATTCGATTGGATCTCTGTTATTTCTCCATATTCCGTTTCAGAGATTCCGTGGGATTCAACAACTGCATCACAGGAGCTGGTATTTTGAGATATCTCACTTTGCATGGCTTCCGTTATTTGGCTCCACTTCTCACCTTTAAATAGTCTTTTATCTGTCAAAATAATACTCTTTAGACAACGGCTTTTGCTCTCCTTTGGAAACTCCGGTGGGATCATCACTTGGGTGCCAGAGAGATCTATTTCACGCAGGTACGACATGTCCACAAATGATCCCTCAATCCTATGCAACTTAGCACAGCCGGAAACATCAAAGACCTTGAGATTTGTGAGCTTTCCAATGTTTGGGAGAGCTTCTAGGTTGGTGCAATCCCTTAGGAGGAGTTCACTGAGGTTGGACAGCTCCTCAATGGTGGAAGGCAACTGGCGAAGATTAGTGCGCGACATACTAAGAATTCTAAGGTCCTTCTTATCCTCGAAACATGCTCCCAGCATCTTCACTAAGCTAGTAGTGCCAGAAAGATCAAGAACTTGGAGACCTGACAAGGGCCTTAGACTAGGTAACCTTCTCAATTTGCTACAGTTGCGCAACAAAAGCCGAGTCACGGAGGGAAGCTTGTTGCCTACTGAAGAGTCTTGGAATATTGGTAGTCGCTCTATTTGGCTCTCCGAGAAGTCTAGGAGTTGAAGTTTCGTAAGATAATAGAAGTTTTTGTTTTTGCCTAGGTTTTTCTTCTCGCCAAGTGTGTTGTCGAAACAAGTTTGAAGTCCACGAGCACCAGAGACATCAACAACCTCAAGCTTCACTAGTTCCTGTATGTCTGGCAAATCTTCCAATAAAGGGCAGTCCCTGATGATGAGCCGGTGAAGTTCCATCAGTTGAGAAATGCTGGAAGGGGAAGATTTGATCTGAAGCCCAGAGAGGTGAAGACTTTGAAGTTCAGACAATGCCTTGAAGAACCCATCAGAGATTTTCTTCAGGGAGCTAGCGCCAGAAACCTCAAGAGCATGTAGTCCTCCAAGAGCCTGAAGCTCCTCAATATCTGTCAGTAGGTCACAGTCCCTGATCACAAGAACCCGGAGTTTCACTAGATTCAATAAAAAAGGAATAAAAGGTTCCAGCTTGGGCTCGAAAAGGCCAAGCATTTCAAGATCCTTCAGCTTTCCAAAGAACTTTCTGGGGTTTTCACGACGCAAACGGTTTCCACTAACCAGAACTGTGGTAAGCTTTTCTCCTCTCCTCGTCACTCGCACTGCTTCTATGATGTCATCGACCTGGTTGATTTTCCCTAGACCTTTTGTCATGTCGCTGCCGCAAACTTTAGCAAGTCCAATTCGACATCTGCCTGACAGTCCACGACGACGGAGATCGATCAAGCTCTTCATTGTAGCCTCTGGCATAACCACATCTCCCTCTTGTATCTTCAGAAAGCCACGTCTTATCAGCTCCATCATGATATCATGGCCATCCTTGTAGGCCTTTGTAACCGATCTAACAGGATCAAAGTAGCCTTCAAGAATCCAATGCCCGATCAGTTCTTGGTAAGAAACGCACCCACAGTGCTCGAAGAAGCTCAAGCTATGCCAGAAGCAGTCAACCATAGTCATGGTACCCGATGTTTCCAATAACTCATAAGAGAGACGTAGAACAGGATTCTCCCTAGCTCCTTCACAAGCAGTGTCTGTATCAGATTGAAAACTGAAGGAGTTCACTTTCTTTAAAACCTCTGGGGAATGTTGAGAAACGAGGAACGAAGGATTCTGACAGATGTGGTTTAGAGACTTGGCTATAACAACGAGTGCAGCTGGCAAACGCATGCTCATTCTCATGATATGTTGTCTCAGTAGCTCATGAGTTGTCCCCCAAGCATTAAGGAAATGAAGCTCTGCAAGTGATTCATCTTTGATAAGTGACCCGAGTAGATCCACCAAATACTCATCAGTAAAGCTGACGCGCAAAGTCAGTGACCCTGGACCATTGAGGGCATGTGACTGGATCTCCCCATCTCTTCTTGTGAGAAGAATCTTTAGAGGCCCGTAAGCTGCAAGAAAAACTCCAAGGTACAAATCTCGCATCACCATTTTCTCAGTGGTCACGCTTCCTTCATCATCCAAAACCAACAGGAGGCCCTTGTTTCCTTTACCATTGAGCTTCTTTCTCCTAAGCTTTTGATGTATCTTCTCTTTCAACCGCATAAAGTCTTGGACTTTCTGATCCGCCTCATCTTCACTATCGCTCTCGTCGTCGCTATCATCCTCTTCATCGTCTTTGTTATCAAGAAATACGGACAGCTGGGAAGCTATATCCTCGTAAAGCGATGTTTCATCCAGATCCTTGTTTAGATTCAACCAGAGGGCAATGAAGCAGAACCTCTCTTTACTTGCGTGCTCGAATATCTTGCGAGCCATCCATGTCTTGCCTGTTCCAGCTTCACCAACAAATTTGACTCTCGAAACGCTGCCGTTTTTCAAGGATTCGAAAATTTTCGCGCACGAGTGTGAATCCATATCACTGGAAATCAGGAAACAGAACCAAACTCAAACCGGAAACACCATCAAGGAATCGGAGACTAAAGATGAGCGATTTCGTAAACATCTTCAAAGAATTCTACCTTAGTCCTAAATCTGGAGAAATAAAAGAAAGCTTCGAGTATAGATTAGAGAAGTCAACATGGCTACGGGCATCGTCGGAGAAGTGACTAACCTGATCAGAGTACTTCGTGTCTGGTGAAAGCGTCGACGAAGTACTTCTTCCTTCCTTCTCTTGATTTTGGTCTTTTGCGTTTCTCAAAGTCTGGGGGTGAAGCTATTACCTTCTTTTTTTTTTTTTGCATATGTGAACTGAATTTTGAAAATGTCTGTAATACTAGTTTTGAGACTTGATCATTCAAAATCTAGATCAATAGGATTGTATACATCTCCTAAATGTGTTTAATAAAATGCTTGAACTAATTTCAAATTAGATTTTCTTCCCTAGCCAATACAAATTTATAGTAAACTTAATCGACTTGTTTAATAATAATAACTGATTATTTAATTAGCAAACAAAATCTAGCTAGATTAAGTAACTAGTGAAATGATTAATTTCATAAAAGCGAGTTAGGCTTGTTTTATGATCTATTTTCTACAATAGTGTTTCATGCTTGATCTAACATTATTAATTTACTATCATTTCATCTTAATCAACTGCTTTGCCCATTATTCGGAATTCCTCTTTATAAACTAAAAATTAATTTTTTCTCAATATGTAGACCTTTTATTGAATGCTTGGCAAAACTAACCTAAAGGGATAGTAAAATTACAGTTCAGTCATTTGTGACTAAACAAAAAACGTCTGCCATAGTTACGATTTTATCCTCTGGGAAATCTACGTAAGAAGTCTATTTTTGTAGACTATTAATGAAGTCTACATAAGTAGACTTCAAAATAAGTCTATTACATAATTAGTTTTTTAATAATTAATTAGAAAATATAAAATAAATAAATTTCTAAAAAATTGGTAAACATAAATAAGACATATATATTTGACATATATAGAGTACAAAATTTCATACAAATTAATCAACTTAAATGCAGAAAAAAAATTAACTAGCAAACATACAACCCCTTAGAAGTCTACTAAAGAAGTCTACTACATAATTAAATCTTAAATTTTTTTCACTAAAATTATAAAAAATATTATGATACAAAAATTATAAACATAACCAAAACATAGACAATTGACATCTATATTAAATAAAATTTCATGAAAATAAACCAATTTATAAGTTTCATAAGTATAAGATTGAAAAGGGTTAGGGTTTGAAGTTCAAAAGAGTTAGGGTTTGAGATGTAAAGTTTAGGGTATTGTTAGGGTAAACCCAAATTCTATATGAATTATAGTCTATGGTTTGGTTAATGATTTAGAGTCCATATCATTGTTATTTTAACTTTAAAATGTGAAAATGGTAAGAAAATCAATGTTTTGATACAAGTTTGATATCAAAAATATTTGATTTTTAAGGTTTAGGGTAAACAAACGTATGCAGTAGACTTCTCGGGAAGACTTCTCCAGTAGACTTAAAAAAACATAGCGGGAAATCAAAATTATTTAACAAATTGGGCGGGAATCGGAACAAATTAGGCGGGAATCGAAATCGAAAAAATATACCGAAGTAGACTTTTCGAGTAGACTTCTCCAGTAGACTTCTTAAGAATAACCGAAAATTTTCCTACATATATAAGGAGATTAACCTAATTGGGTTAAAAATAAAGTTTTTCTCTCTCTCTAAAAAATGCCTCTCTCTCCTCTACCTCCTCTCTGGCCATGAATCTCTTCTCCTTCCTCTCTTGCCATCAAACCCATCTTTATCCTCCATCCTCTCTATCTCAATTATGGTGATGGTAAGCAAATCTGAGGTTTTGTGTTTCTTTTGTTGTTTGTTTTGTGTTCATATTGTAAATCTGAGTTTATTATTACATATTTGAGCTTCTTGTTGTAGATCTGAGTTTATTCTTGCAAATATGCGCTTCTTATGGTATAAATTATGTAGAATTTGTTGCATATCTGATTTTTTTGTTGTTGCAGATCTGATTATTTTTTTTTTCTTTTGCATATCTGAATTTTTAGTTGTTGCAGATCTGATTTTGTTTATTTTGTTGCAGATCTGAATTTTGTTTATTTTTTTTGCAAATCTAGAATTTTTTTGTTGTTGCATAACTGATTTCTTTTTTTCTTTTTTTGCTGCAGATATGATGTTTGTAAATATAGCAGATTTTGTTGAAATATGAATTTTAACTTTTTCTTATTGTGCATACCTGAGCATATTTATTTCTCTTTTGTTTTTGTTGGAAGCAGACTTCAGCTGCAGACTTCTCGAGCAGACTTCTCGAGCAGACTTCAGTCACATACATCTTTTTAGACATTTTGTTTTTATATGCTAATTTTAAGATTTATAATTAGTGATCCTTAAATGTTTGTTTGTTTAGAAGGTCTAATTTATATGTAAAGTTGGATTGCAATTAATGTTATTTAATATATTTTTAAATTATGTGTGTTTTATCATATTCATATTTCATATGCAGACTTCTTTATCAGAATTAGTCATCGCCATCTTTGAACCTCTAATAACACAAGAAAATTAATTCAATTTTAACTATACAAAAACATGTAAAACTCATAACAAAAAAATATGTAAAACTACTTAGAAATACCACAACTAGTCTTTCTTCACACATTCTCTATAAACAGTGGGTATGTGAACCATTCTCTGTAAGAAAACAAAATTCAAACCACATTAGAAATCATTGTCAAAAAAATAGACTGCAAACGAGACTTCAAATGAAGTCTGCGGACTATTAAGCTAAATACCAAATAAAAGAAGAAAATTAATTAAAGCTAAACTGTAACAAAAAAAAAATTTCAAACTCATACATAAGCAAGAACAATAAATATCACACACTTAAAAGCCAAATAATAAATTTTATTTTACAAATATCTGATCAATTATATTTATAAAAAATTAATGTCGCAGAGTGCAAACGAAGTCTACTATGTAGACTTCAAGTGAAGTCTACAGACTAATAAGCTAAATACCAAATAGAACAAGAAAATTAATTAAAGCTAAACTATAACAAATAAACATGTCAAACTCCTACATAAGTAAGAACAATAAATAGCACACACTTAAGAGTCAAAGAATAAATTTTATTTGTTACAAATATCTGATCAATTAATTTAATATCGCAGACTGCAAACGAAGTCTACAGACTAATAAGCTAAATATCAAATAAAACAATAAACTTGATTTCACTAAATATATATAATATAAACATGTAAAACTGATACAAATGTAAGTACACTTACTAAAACAATCGTAAGACCAAAATAATCTTAAAATTTCGTTGTAAATTTGATAAAAACACGTTTATAAAAAAAAAGTGAAATAGTAGACTAACAACGAAGTTTACAAAAGTAGACTTGCAACAAAGTCTACAAATGTAGACTTCGTATGGAGTTTATATTTTAGGTTACTTTTGCAATTGCCAAAAGATGAGTAGACTTCTTCAAAGAAGTCTACTCACTCCGAGAAGTCTCATCGAGAAGTCTACGTAAAAAAAGGTTAGTCTACTTGGGTTAGTTTTGGGTTGACCAAACATTGAATTAATTTTCAAGTAGACTTCAAACGAAGTCTACTCAAAAAGTAGACTTCAAACGAAGTCTACTCGGAAAAGTAGACTTCAAGCGAAGTCTACTCGGAAAAGTCAACATTGGTCAATTGCAAAACTAACCTCTAAGAAGTCTACTTTCAAAGTAGACTTCTCCGAAGAAGTCTACTTTTGCGAGTAGACTTCTTACGAAAAAGTCAAAGGTTGGTTAATTGCAAAACTAACCCCTTTTACGTAGACTTCTTTTGAAGTTTACACTATTTTTTTTTGTCAAAGGAAATGGCGCAGACTTCAACTGAAGTCTACTGTCAGAAATTGGTACACCCAGTCAATTGCAAAACTAACATGTGTGTTGACCAGCAGACTTTTTTTGAAGTCTACTACAGTAAGTATACTTCTTAAGAAGTATACTTTCGCGGCACAGATCTGAAAACTTACGAATTGACTGAAAAATCACCTACCAGTGGTATTTAGCTTATTCAACCACCAATTTCTTTGATTTCAGCCACGACCAAACAAGTCCAATCAATTTGCTAGACCAAATCACCAAATATGACAATATATTAAAACATCAAGTTTCAAAAACTTAGATTAGAGAGTTTTTGTGCTGAAAATAGTGAAAAAATGAAAGAGTAGAAGGTTAAGAGAAGAGGAAATGAGGTTACAAAGCTAAAAAATGGGTCTTTCAAACAATAAAAATTTCGAACTGGTTGAAAATAGTGATTGAGTGAATCGATGGTGATGGTATTTTCGTGAATAAGTGAGGAAGATGAGGATTGTTTGGTAAAATAGAATTCTGAAATAATAATAAAAAATAGTAATCTAATGGCATTTTCGTGAATAAATAAAACTGATAAAGATATAAATGAGAGAAAGTGGTTAATTTCAAAAGTGATAAAATGAGAGGTTAATTTAGCAATTGACTTGAATTTATGGGTTATTTTTGCAAAATTCCCATTATTTATTGCTTTCCAATCTTTGAGAATCGTTTTCTTAGTTCTAGTTTATTTTTCTTTACTTAATCTAGTTTTTAATTATTGATTTGCTAATTTTTGTGTTTTTTGCTTTTGTTTGATAACTGCTTAGATTTTGTTAAGAATTAGTTTAAACCATTTTGTCGCTTTAGCTTAAGTAGAATTTAATATTCTCAATATATCCGCTTAGAGTAAGTGATTTTTCATACTATTTTTTTAAAAATAAAGGAATTCTAAGATAGAGATAAATCCTCTTTTCAATATGTTGCTCTAAAAGAAATATATTTTAATAATATTATTTTTCTAATTTATTAATAATATCTTTTCTTTCTAAAATTTATAAATTAACCTCATTTATTTTATTTTTTTACAAAAACTTACATAAAATTATAATAATATTAAAATTAAATATTTATTATACAAAAAACATCACATTATATTATATAAAATATAATATATTTTAATTTATAAAATGATGTAAGACTAAAATTGAAATGAAAAAAAAATTTATATTCAATTATATTATATGTTTTCAAAAATTTATATTATATATTGGATAAATAGTTGTTCACTAAATATATAAAAATAAGTTATATAAAGATTAATTAAATTTTTATATTTGTTATGTAAATAAAAATAAAAAAATTTAAAAGTTGAAATACTAATTTACAAATACAAAAGTTAATATATATTATAGAAGAAATATAATTCTTCCAAACATAGAAGAAAAAATAGCATTTTCTATTTTTGAAGAAAAAATAGAGGCGGATTGGAGATAATTTTTCTCTAAATTCTA